CCTTGCGCCTCACCTCCCGGCAGATCCTGTGCAGCGTCCTCGTTGCTGCACGACGTCAGTCCTCGGTAACTCCGCAGGAACGCAACCAGGTCCCGAGGAATTTCTATTTTTAACCTGTTGTTTGCATGATGCTTTTTGTCGATGCCATCTCCGATGGCGACTTTTCTGTGCGGATGATTTTTCACCGTATTACACCCTGTTTCAGCTGGCTAATTCGAGTTCGAGTTACTTACGGTAGTCTGCCGGTGTACGAGTACATGACTCATGGTTGTGAGTCGACAATTCTGGCAAGAGTTCCAACCGTTCTTCTGTATTTGCTTGTGCCTGGCCATTGAGCTGACCTGGTCGCTTCACTAGCTAAACGGTTTCTTGGGACGAGGTGCTGACCACCGTGCCAAAGTTTCGAAAGCTTCGTGGATAGTAAATGTGTTATCCCTGGACTTCATGCAATACTTCTCTATTGCCCATTGTATTCAGCCCAATTACGAGCTACAAATGCCTTGTTACCTCAGTCTTTGTTACCTCAATCTTAAAATTTGAATACTTTAGACCTAGAGTTCCTACAGTACATGGGCAAAATCTTTGAGAGTCTTTCATCCAGCGTCACAAAAAAAATTGATGATTGTGACATGCAAAGATCTGACGTTTATCAGAAACAGTTATATCAAAATGGGAAGGCTAATACCAATGGTGCTGATGTGTCAGACGAGCAGGTTGTTAATGCTGACCTCGGAAAGGCTCTAGATTAATGGCATCGGTATTTGTGACCTTTCTCTGCCTAAATCCGTCATCGTAAGGGAGATGATTCATCCCAACGCCTCCTTCAGAGATTAGTATGCGCAATAGTATCTGATCCCTCTGTCTAGTTTCCAGAGTAGACTAAATTGACCCAGAGCTGCTTGCTTTAGACGTGGATTTTAGCAGTCTCTGTAAACTGTAGTTCACTGGATTCTATAAGCCTTTCGTCGCTAGTACAACGACTATAAGAGTGTATTCTGCAGAAGTAGTCCCCCCAGCTATGCACTACAACAACGGACAGTTCGATTT